CAAAGGACAAACCCATACCTTTCAAAGTGAAGTATTGTATGGAGTCACTCTATTGTCTCCAAGCGTGCTTACCTACTTTATGAAATACGACTGTTCATATACGGCCAAAAGCCTGTATATCAGGAACAAATGACAAGATCGCCTCTTGAAGCTTGCCACGTGCTTTTGTACCTTCTGACTTGCATTTAATGCAGTGGATATAAATAGCTGAGAATATCCTTCTTTTCAGCACCTCTGAATCTCAATCCAAGCTTCCTTGCCTTGAAGATCTTTTCACCCAAGAAGATACTCCTCCCTCTAACTCTATATCTAAGAGAAAGACAACCACTTTAACAAGTGAATAGCACAATACTTCTTAACCATATTTCTTGTAGCAAGTCTTTTCTTTATTGTTATCTGTAACTTGTGTTTCTTTGATTGTTTAGATAAGTTCTGTATCTTATCTTTTCTGCAAACAATATGTAAAAATTTGTATTGATCTTCTTTATCAATATAAGTTTTTTAAAAGTGAAAGTTGTTGTGTTTGTATTCATCCCCCCTTTTACAAATTTTACCTATAAACTCTTGTAGATCTGGTTGGGACTAACACATTGACTTTTATAGTCAATTCTTTTTTCTAAACATCAATCAAAGTTCTATCGGTTGCTAAACATGGTCTTGCTAGGATGATTGAGATGTCTTTATCGGCTTCAAAATCAAGAATGATGTCGACGAGAAAAATGAATTTATCCACTTGGACTAACACATTCTCATATTTTTCTCTTGGGTGAGTTATGGACTTGTCAGTTAATTGAAGGATGACTATGGTTGGTCTAGACTCACCTATGGCTAAGGTGCTGAAGACATACAAAGGAAAAAGGTTAATGCTAGCTCCTAAATCACATAAAGTCTTTCTAATTTCTTTCCCACCTGAGCATGGGATAGAGAAATTCCTAGGATCTTTGAGTTTAGGGGGACATTTATTTGAAAGGAGGGCACTAAAACCTTCTGTTAGGGCAACAGTTTCATAATCATTCAACTTTCTTCTTTTTGCTAAAAATGTCATTGAGAAATTTGGCATAACTTGGCATTTATTTAGTAGCTTCAACCAATGGGATGTTGATATGTAGCTTATTGAACACATCAAGGAACTTTTGAATTATAACTCCTCTTTTTGTTTTCTCAACCTTTGTGTAAAAGGTACATAAGAAGGAATAAGAGCTACAATGGCTTCTTAGAGGCCTGATTTGAAAGTTCCTGGGTGGATGGTAAGTTTGGTATGAGGGACTGGTGATGAAACATGTTTGTCAATTTTTGAAAAAGATGTTGCAAAATAATCTTGAAATGAAACCTTATTTTTGCATTCATTTGGAAATAATAAGGAGAAATTAGTTTTCATAGGAAGTGGTCCTATGTCTACTAGTTTTCTTTTATCTTTGAAAGTGGATGTGACAATATCCGAACTAGATGTTGTGACATTCTTTTTAAATGGGGTTTTGGGTAAGTCAACAGACTTCTTAAAGGTTCTTTCTCTATCAGTTCTTTTCCACTCCTTAAGGTCACTACCTTCACATGTTCTTTCATCATTGGTCTTGGAATCTTTGTATCACTAGGAAGGGTACTGGCAAGTCTATTTCTTACCTCAAGTGTAAGTTGACTAATATTTGTTTCTAGAGATCTTATTGTAGTATTTTGATGGTTCATTGCTAAGTTGGCCTGCTTTATGAATCATTTCAAAATTGTTTTCAAAGAAGTAGATGACTCGGCTTTCTAGTTAGGCTTATTTTGAAAAGATGACCGATTCGGTTGTTAATGAAAAAATATGTTGGTGATGGATTCGAGGTTGACTCAAATGTTGGTCTTGAGGCTGTTGTGGTTGAAAATTGGAGGTTCCTTGAGGTTTGTTCATTGGTGGGTTCAAAGTATGATTGTGCCATGAAAATTCTGATTTTGTCTCCACCCAGCGTTGTATGTTCAAGCAAATGGCCCGATCTGTTTTGATTTCCCACATAGTTAACTGACTCATAGTTAGAAGGACAAAACATAAAGGAATGCTTGTCACCACAATACACACATTTACTGACTCGATAGTAGGAGTAGATGTAGTGGCAACAGATTGTGTTGGTTGACCATTTGTCAGCTTTTTATTAAATTGGTCATGCAGTCATTTGTGTTGTTAATAAAAGCATCTACATCATGAACTCCAATTGTCTAGCGTGGTACTAGTATACGTGGATGAGCCGAATGACCATTGTTTTTGGAAATATTTTTTAGGATGTCATATCCATCATTATAGGTACTAGTTGGGAAAGCTCCTCATGTAGCATCGAGCATTTGTTTTGCAGTAAGATTTAAACCGTTGTAAATGTCTAAAGCTATATACAATAAGGAATGCCATTATGATTGCATCTTCTCAACAACTCTTTATACCTTTCCCAAGCATCGGGAACTGCCTCGTTTTCTCTTTGGTTAAAAAGACAAATTTTGTTTCTGGACTTAGGGTTCTGAGTAGGAGAAAAATATTTTTTTTAAACTTTTATGCCATGCTATTCCAGGAATCGAGTGATCCTGGCTGCAAAGAATTAAACCAAGACTTTACCCTATCTTTTAGAGAAAAAGGAAACAATGTAAGTCTTAACGCACCGTTAGATACTCCAGAAATATAGAAAGTGTCGGTTATTTTCATGAAAGATTTTAAATTTGAATGTGGATCTTTAGATTGCAAACCATTGAACTAGTTATTGGTTTGGAACATACTAAAAACATCACTAGTTTTACTTCAAAATAGAGGGCTTCCATTTGTGGCCTAAGTATTCCTAAGTTCAACTGATCAAAAACAGGAATGCCATAGTCTATAATTCTTCCCTCTTTAGAGTTTGTGAGGTGGATTATTTTTTTCAATGTCATTTCTTGGTGAGGTGTTATGTCCGGGCGGATTTCCACCGTTCTCATGTTGAACTTTTGGGTTAACTTGTGGTATGGGCCCCTCATTCTTAGGTGGCATGTTATTATTATTCAGTGGTGGATTATTTGGGGGTGGGGGTAACAATGGTGAAAGTCCAGCCATATCGAATAGTTTAAAGCAGATGCTCGTTATGCTCTTTGTCTTTGTGTGAATGTTTGTTCAATATATGGGTCAAATTCAGCTTTCTCTCTCTCCGAGTGATAACATTGGCATGCACCATATTTAAAGTAAGTGACAGGATGGTAGAAAAACCAAAGCTTTACTTTACTGGAAAAAAAAAACTTCTAGTAAAATAAATTTACTATAGAAGATGGAGACTTGTATAAGTATACACTTATCAGTCTATTGTCATCTTTTACAAATAATAAAACGATAACATCAGTTTATTAATCTCTAAACTGATGGATTTCTATGCAATTTCAATTGACAAGATGATTTTGCTCACTCTCAATCAAACAGTTCACATCTGACTATTCCACTTCATAGAGCAATTAATGCGAATACTGTAAAATAATAAAGATTAAAATTTTAACTTGCATAAAGATTAAATACTATAATTAAATATAAGCAACTATAATTATAATGGAAAAGTAAGACAAAAGATGACAAATACTAAAGTGTTTGTTTTCATATTTAGGGTAGAGTTTCTTTATATGAGAGTAAATGAAATTGTAAGAGTATTTATCGGATGATTTCAAGTGGAAAGACTAATTGCACTCTTATACATTGCTAAATGCATCATCTTTATATAGTACTTCTCTTCTCATACATGTCAACATAAAAACTCACTTTTTACATTCTCAATATATGAATTGACTCTATTTTAACATTAAAAAGGGTGCATATAGCAATCCCGTTTCAAACAAATACAAGAACTCTGGTAAAAATGAATAAAAAAATACAAGTAATAGAAACTCTATATCATTATAATATAAGGAAGTCTAATCTTAATTTCCAAAAGTCAAAAAGGTAATTTTCCAGCCAAACAAATCTTTAGGATTCTTCAAAAATGTTAATTCCAATTTTTGATGGAGCCATGGCATAGCATTCCTTACAGCATTCTGGATGAAACTATCACAAAAAATACTTATACTAATAACATTAAACTATTTAGCTACAATGATTAAATATATTAGTAATTAATACTACGTTAAGTAAATTAAAAGTGAAATAGGTTAACATTTATCAACAAGTATAATATAGAACATGTAATTTACTTTAAATATTTATATGTTGGGTAAAACAAAAATAAAAATTTGGACATCATAGTTTGGAGGAGAGCTTTTTTAGACAAGTTTTGAGCATTTGTAAATGTAATTTACTTTTATAGTTGCTACATTATCACAACTACTTCATGTTATGTCTTTGTATTTTATTGCTGTTGTCGGTAAGGTAAATCATCAGCTGCAACATTGCTATCTAAATTTTATTTCCTTGATACTTTTCTGTAATAAATGAACCAAACGGGTTGGGTTATGGTGACAATGAATGTTACGGTGAGAAGCGATTTCCACCCTTGAATCAATCCTAATTGAAAAGAACCACTAGATCAATTCCCTTCTAAAGTGTGATTCATGGGTGGTTTTGGTATTAAAAGTGATTAAAAGTTCAAACCCCTTCTTACACTTCTCATCTTAACTCCTATTCTCACACGATGCTTCGTCACGGACACAAAGGACTTGTTCGTGTTCATTTATCTATCTTTAACCAAACAAACATACATGAACAACTGAAATTTTCGTTCATGTTTGTTTATTAAGAAAAATAAGCTTGTTCATGTTTGTCCAAAATATACAAGGAGCAAGAGAATGAGAGCTTGGAGATATACTAGATTTATTTGGTTTGGTATGCATTACATGCAAAACAAAACAATACCCAAAAAGTCCCACTTGCATATCCATATAACTTTTGCAAACTCTGATCTTTTCGTGTAGCAAGCACGAGTTGATAATTAAACAAGAAACACCATGTCGAAGGGAGATTGACCATGAGACAAACCTTTGAGATTGTTATGTTAATTAACATCACAAGTTCAATTATATACAAAAAGCCTTGCATGCCAAATTCTCCAAAACCACTCTATAATAAACATACAGGCTCCAAAAGCCATCACCATAAAATCAAAACCTTCTGCAACATGGTTTGATATTGCAACATTGCCTTGGCTCAACTGCTAAATGGATTATGCTTCCCTCAATATGCCTTTCTGTCAACCCACCTGATGAAGTACTCCTCTTCGACCACGCACCATACACTGCTTCTCCACACAATCCATTGTTGCTAAGATCAAGCAGCACAAGCCGTTTCGCCATCAAAATGGCATAAGAAAGCTTTCCAATAAAAGTTGTTGCATTTGACTCAGAATGATCAAGATCAAATGAAGTCATGCAACTCCCAGATACACAAGACTTTTCTTTGGTTACCTCGTCATCTTCACTATCAGCAGCAACTTCAAGCTCAATGCAATCTGCTTTCATACCAAATGCCTCCTGTTGACCATCTTGGTTGACCACGTGATCGTTTCCTTTGACCAAGGAATTGGGATCGTTTAAAGTATGGTACTCGTCATGAAGAGCATTTTCTGACAAGTTGAGCTCCTCTATAGTTGTGTAGTCGGATAAAGACTGAAGAATGCCAAGTACACCAACAAGCCCCAGTTGGCACTTGTTCAAAACAACTACTTTTAAACAGCAATGGGGATTTTTGAGTAGTGATGCCAAAGCAATGCCACCCTGTATTCGTGGGTCACTTCCTGTCAGAATCTTTAAATTTATAATAACAAGCATAGCCTAATAACATCATATAGTTGTCAAGATTTTTCATGTAATCCAATATAAACAACTGAACAGAACAGTTTCATTGGTCACCAGTATAGCCCGAGATGTACTTTGAAATGTTTATCAGTTGCACTGCAAGTAGGGGTGCACCTAAAAAATAGTCCCATTAACCCAACCGGGAGCCTAATTGATGCCTAACTTTTGAAAATGGGGATAGGTGGATTGGGTTAGGTTAGCGGTAAACCTAAATCAACCAAACCCAAACCATCACCTAATAGACCAAGTCCAAACTCCAAACTGTCCCTACCTCCATTGTTGATTGATGGATTCAATTGAATTCAAGCTTTATCAATCTTGGCATCTTATGTTTAAACTTATGTTGGATGATTGTAATATTTTGGGTGATTAGGTACTAACCCCTAAAACTTGATTTTCTTGTTTTTAAGGTTGTAAATTTTAGTTCAACCATTTCTTTAAACTATGTTTAACCCGACCTGAACTGCTTAGGTTGGGTTGTACATTATTCTTTTTCTAAGAGGTTAGAATTTTCTAGACCCAAGTAATTGGACTGGTTTATTCAAATGCCCTCAACCAGGCCAACCCAACCCACATGAACCCTAACTGCAAGTGAATATGAATGCATAGTTAAGTTTGGGTATCAAAGAGTACGGTCCTTCGAAGTTATATCTGTAAATATCTTGCCATTTGCACATTTGGAAAAGCAATAGTAACAATGGTAACTTAAAAAATCCAACCTCTTGCGTGAGTGGATTCCCTCCAAGATTCAACTCGAGAATACCACCGATCAAAGAAGCATCGATATTTAGTTTCATGATATAGTTTGATGTCAGCAAACAAGACGATAAATCAAGCTTGACTAGTTCTCGATCCTCACTGTTCCATGAATCCATCAACTGCGTAGCCCTCTCCTACAGAAATGACAACACCACCATATAAATCTTGGCAACCAAATATTTCCTTTAAAAACAAAGAACAAACACAAATCACATTTAGAAGATTGAGTAAATAATGCAAAATGATGATGGCTATCTCACAGTTCCGATACTTGTATCTCCAATCATCAATTCGGACAAGCATGATGTTCTAATGAGCTTACAAAGGCTATCAACTGCATTCTTGTTAAGCTTTATGCCATTTAAACTTAATTGAGAGAAGCTGCAAAAAGCAAAAACCCGAAATTGGTGAAATCTTTCAAGGACATATTAATGTATAAAATCTACGAATGAAAAACAACATTTTTTCTAATACAAATAACAATGTATACCTCTTCAAAGTGGCAAGTTTGTCCAGCAAATTTACTATGGCATTTCCAGATATGGAGCTATTGTATCCTGTTGAATGGTAGAAAATTTAGGTCTGTGTGACAGATGAACAAGAACAAGGAAAAACATGTTGAATCTTCATGTACCTATGAAAAGTTCTGAAAGAAGCGATTCAGAATCGAGCGAGTCAGTAACTTTTTGAATTGTTCGAGATGTGATAGAGCAGCACTCTATATTTAAGCTGTAAAGAGCTGCAAAAGAAAAGGTTATAGAGTTTCCCTCTATAGAGACACAACTCTCTAGTACGAGTCTAAGCACATAACATAGGCATAATTGACAAAGAGATACTGAATCTTAGACTAAGCAATTATCACAGTCCTAAACTGGAATAGCAGTTAGGACCATGATTTGCCATAGCAGGTTAGCATGGTAGTAAACGGTGGTATAGCGGAAAAAAATAGCGGTTCATGTAATAAATAATATATATACATATATATGCAAACGAAGCATCATGTGAGAATAGGAGTTAAGGTGAGAAGTGTAAGAAGTTTAAGAAGGGATTTGGACCCAGGATCATTTTTTAATCCCAAAACAACCCATGAATTGCGCTTTAGAAGGAATTGATCTAGTGTATCTCATTAGTGTTGATCTAGTGTTTCTCTTCGATTAGGATTGATCCAAGGGTGGAGATCCTTCTTACCCTTCTCACAGTAACTTTCATCCCCACCAGAACCCAACCCTATATACGCAATACTTGATAGACGAAGGAGCGTGTGAGAATAGGAGTTAAGGTGAGAAGCATAAGAAAGAATCTAGGCGCTTGATCACTTTTAATCTCACCCCCACCTCATGAATTGCGCTTGATACAGAAATTGATCCGGTGCATCTCATTAGGGTTGATCTTCAATTAGGATTGATCCAAGGGTGGAGATCCCTTCTTACCCTTCTCACCATAACTTCCATTCTCATCGGAACCCGACCCATACTTGGTATGTGAAAAACATAACTTATAGTAATATCCAGTAAAAGCATAAAGTCCAAATTTCAACATCAAAACATAGTTTTTTCCATAATGAAGTCTCAAAATTAAAACATATACTAATGCATATAAAGTCACACGTAAAAAAAATCAACTAGCGGCAAATCGTGGTCAAGTGGCAACAAACAGTAGCCAATCCGCAGCAAATCGCATCAGAAATAGCGATACTACAATTTTGTACTGTAATAATGAAATTTTGTACTGTAATAATGAAATTTTGTAACAGTCGAGGAGCATTATAGCACCGCTATTGACTGCCTAGATCATAGATAGTTCTGCTCAACCAGGCAAGTTTGAACTGGTTGCATACAAGGGAACAAGAGACAAGCCTTAGAGCAACCAGTAAGGTTACTTCCTTGCAGTTTTTTCACAGGATTGAGTCATGAAACAACCTCTTTGCAATATGCATAAGAAAGGCTGTGTACAAGACTTCAATCCTGAACCGTCACAAGCCCAGTCGCTCTGGTGCATCTGGCATCCCTTTTTCGCATAAAACTGAACACAACTCGAAACACACAAAAATTCATGGATCTCATTTTTTGATGACATTTATTATGTAGCACAGATACTTGGAAGTTGATATCTTATACAATTAGAAATATTAGATACCTTTGCAATTCTGCAAGATTGTAGAAAGGTAAGAAGCACATCCATCAGTCAAACGATTCCCGGAGATATTAAGTACTTCCAAGCGGGACAAAAGCACAGGGCATTCACAAATCTGTATTTTAGAAAAGCAATCAACTTATGTCAAAAAAAAATGAAGAAAAAATGAAGTAAGAGCAATGGATTTCAATTTGAAATCAAATATGGAACCCTGCAGTTCGCAGCTAACCTTATAAGCTCAATTCAGACTATCCTTATCTCACACCATGAATAGTTTATCATACTTCTCTTAGCTTTAAAATAGCAATGACTAGTATAAACAATGTCTTGGGTTCGTGTCAATAGTGACGGTATTAATGAGAAACTCAACAGAATGTAAATAGAAAAAAGGAAATTGAACCAAAATGAACTTCGCTTTAGTTCTATTTTTGGAACCAACTTTCAAAACCTCCATTTTGGGAATCAACTTAAGTTGATTCCACTTTGATTCCCTAAAGTAGGAACAAAAGGCATAGTTGGTTCCACTTTGATTCCCCAAAATGAGAAGTTCTAAAAGTTGGTTCCTCAAAATGTGAATGAATGCAGGGTTTGTTCCAAGTTCATGCAATTTGAGCAATGTAAGACTAAATTGAGAAACAAATAATGAGTGACAGAAAAAAACAGTGAACACCATAATAAGTAAAAAACAAGTAACCAAGAAGTTACAACAAAGCTTCAGCTACGAGCTATCAGACTAGAACAATAATAGCATAGATTGACCAGGTCTATTACTGATAGTCCACGCATCTGCAAGGCAAATATAATGAATGATGTGAGGCTGTGAGAACAAGGCAAATAGAAAACAAACCTGGAATAGGGAAGTTGGACCAAAGCGATTGCAGTGCAAATCCAAAACCAAACCACCATACTTTTGGCTTGATGACATAAATACCTGTTTTAGTTTCTCCATTGTTTCATTTCCTGGCAATAGATGGAGAGCTTGTAAAAGAACTAAGAAAAATCACAAATCTATAGCATGACAGCAATTTATCGTACTAAAGGGACAGCTGCAAACATGAAAATTCTGTTTCAGGTGTTTAATTATAAAAATAAGTAACTAAGTATGATAGAAGTAGCTAGGATCCAACTACTAGTACCTAACAAATTGTGTGAAAGGTTTAGTGTAGCAACTGTCTTGTGCAAATGTAAGGCATTTAGTAATGGTGCTGCTGAGATATCTTGCAGTTCACAGTCAGAAACAACAATCTCATCCTCTGATACCTGATGATAAATATGTTAGAAAGAACCAAGCAATAGTAAACTTGTTTTATTAATAAATGCAGATTTCACAACCTTCACTATAGCAATTCATAGACTAATAGCAGAGAAAAATTATCATCCATAGATACCAACATATGCATCTATTTTTACCTCTAAATTATACAGCTTCGTAAGCAATTTCACGTTGGGAGGTTCAGAAAGATCGTTACAACAATCAACGTAGAGTTTTACCAAGCGCTTAGGTACCCAGCCTACAAAAAAATGCATTTGAAGACAATAAATTAGTTAATATATTTATTTGGAAAAGTCAGAAATTTCGTATAAAACTTCAACCATGTATTCATGAAATGACCAAAGCACAAGAACCACACACGAATTGAATTATGCTTTGTACAGTTAGTCAAGCTAGATAATACACAGCATAAAATTATCATGGCCAACAAAAGTATCGTAGTGGAAAAGAACACATACGATCAATAGATACTTCAACCCAGCATTTCCCACACATGTAATCCTTTGGGGTATCCAATACATCCAAGGTTTCTAAAATTTCTCCTCCACACTTCAGATGTTGAATGATTGGCAAGAGGCCTATCACCAAGAACAAGAAATAGAACCCTTATCATTTAGTGAGTAATCAAGAAAGATATGAATATTTCGATATGCAGTCCATATATAATCCATTTCATGATACAACAATAACCAGAAAAACAATAAAAGATTTGAGATATTCTATCTTAAAATTTTCCATCAAGGTTGGTCGTTAAGCTCCTATTTGCAACATCACCAACATGATGTTTAGAGGACATGATAGACTATCCAATAATAACAAGGGTAATAGTAACTTAGGGAGTTCGACTGAAGGTTTAGCATCACTGCATCAGGTTGCCTTCAATTAAACAAAATGCTCAGTGCAAACTCTAACAGGCCAAGACATATCGACAATTGCTTTTCAAATTGCTCCACTTTATGGTGCCCTGAGAAAAAATATAACAACTCAAATGGAAGAAGAAAAAATAAGGTTTTTTGCATGGTTCCTCTTTATGATGGACACAGAATTTCATTCAATCAGCATACAAGGAATCAAGCAGAAAATATGAATTATGAATGAATCTTTACGTAGTAAATATAGAATAAGAAAGCATTAATGAGGATCTTTTAGGTGACATTGCATCGAGATTGTTGGACGATTTTCAGCTCCTGGTAAGATCAATGAGTTAATTCTATAACTTTTCTATCAAGTTTCAGTATTTACACCATCTGTTTTATGTTAGTAATTACTTGCTAATGTTAAATGTCTACTACACGATAAGTACGGTTCTAGATTGTTGAAAATGGTGTTTAAGGAGCTAAATGCTGAATTTGACTTGTGAAGATTGTTTGATAATTAACTGTGTACACATACAAATGTGCATTTCATCAACAGTGAAGACAAACTAGGAATCAAGAATACATTGAGATCATTTGGGTTCAGAGTTGGGTATTTAGGAATATGAAGAAATGCCAAACAATTTTATCCAAATATGTTTTCCCTCTTACAAAATTAGCACAAAAGGGTAAAATCTACTTGTTATGCTTCAGAAGGCACTTCAATAAAAGTACAAAACAAAGAGACATACTGGGTGACAGCCTGGCCAATTAAGAGGCTTCCTCAGCTGAAACAAACATCTCCTTGGTGCCACATAATCTGAAACTAATAGATTCTAATGCACTTCTTTAGAATCTCCATAGCATTAAAATTAACCCTATTTGCATCAGTTACCACAATATTGTGTAAAATAACATACACAATGGTGACCTTTCAGAATATCCCAAAACATAACATGGAGCATCAGAACATCATATAAATCCTTCATATAGCTTTATTGCATTTGGTCTAAACAGCATTTAGATTCCCTATCTCATTGCAAATTACTAATTCATCATATGTATACTAACTCATTGTAGCATCCTTTTTCCTAGCATATTATTGCAATAGGGTGCAATCTTCAAATAAGCCATGCTAAACACTTGAATTTTCTATTTTAGATTTTTCTTTGTCAATGTAAAGGGTGTTTTTGTTTGCGAAAATCATTAAATGCACTTGGCAAGACTGTCTTCTTCCAATAAAATAAGATGAAAATTTTAAACTATATATAACTCATGTTTTACTCAGTTTGAAAGCTCAAATTCATCAAGATAGTCTACTTGTGTTGTTTTTGTAAGCCATGAAAACATCAACATCAAGTTTACAATTTCTAATTCTGTTTACATAATTTTATAAACTAATTTTGGTTTTCTTAGAAGGCAAACGTTTGTCAAGTGCCTTTTTATCTTTTTAAACATGTAAAAGCGGAAACAGAAAAAAAGATGTTGTCAAAGGAGACCATATTATGTAGGAGAAAAGGTTATTTCAAATCTTTGCAATCAATCAAGTGACATTGACATGCTGTACCCATTTTTGTTTTAAGTCTTATAAAACAAGCTTACTTGTATAATATTAGCAAGTGCCGGCACACTAGGTTATCATGTCAGATATTGTTGCCTATATCATTGTTCATTTTCTAGCTAAAAGCCTATAATCCATGTAAAATTGTTCGGGTTCCTTTGTTTGCTTGTTCTGTTTCTGTGGCCGGATTTATCTTCCATTGCTTGTTGTTTTTGACACTTCTAACTTGTTCTAACAAATTGGAGATGATTTCTCAACTTGTTGATGTTGCCTTAAAATCAAGTTCCTCTCACCATGCCATCCATCTTTTGTTTGTAGCAAGAAGGCTAGAATCAACTTTCCAATTATGCAAGTGATTCGTCCACATTAAGATATGTATAATCAATGAAGAAAAACAGAACGAAAGCAAGGTTAATAGCCAATAAGAGCATACCTCTAGATCTATTCTCCTTAATGAGTTTTAAGAAGTATAAGCATGCTACTTCAACTTTTATTTGTTCCATGCAAAGTTTATCCCCAAATTTACATGAGCGTGGTTCTATGTGCACAAAGTCATCTTCAACTTTGAATATCATATGTTTCTGCAAAAAAAATAAAACCCAGCTCAATCCTCAAGCAATTTTCCAGTTAGTACTTGTGCCATATATTAACCACGCCACTTGCCTATGGCAAGTTCACAACAACAAATTCAAGCAGAAGACTTCCAACCCTTTGGCAGCCATTGGTTCCAAAACCAAGCCAAATATGAATAAATCAACAAAAAGTCAAAAAAAAATATATAGTTTAACCGCTGCATAGACAACATGGATAATGAGGAACACAATGAATAAGTCAAATAACTTATGACTCGTAAGCTTATATATGCATTCTGTATCATAAAGTAGATCACTTAAGCAACACACCATAACCTAAGAGATATGCTATTGTAGATACTATAGCAATATGAATATAGACATTACCATGAGAATGTAAATTATACTTACACAATATTCATCATCGCAAGCACCAAAAATGGGGACAGTCTGACCATTTGTTTTACAGGTATTTTCAGAAACACCATCATCACACTTGAGACCATGCACACCAAAATGGGAAGCATAAACCGCTTCATTATCTCTTGAGCATCTGAAATCTTCTGCAGTTGATGAGGCTAGTTTTGAACTCCTGCCCTTATGGGAAGAAGTGCTTTCTTCCAGATGTACAGGAGTAGAAGCACTAATTGCACATTTAGAGGCAACTGGTGAGATATCCTGCAAGTGTTGCGAAAACCACCAAGCAATCATCAACAGCCAACAGTAATAAGCAAAGACAACCTACAATGGATCAAAAGATGTCTAACCTGATAATCATGAACATGACTAGTTAGATCACATCTACCCTTGACTGCAATCCATCAAAGAAAAAAGTTAGTTTTTTGGCACTCAATTTCAAGAGATATAAACATTAATCAGGATAACCAATAGTCACTCACATTCATTAGAAGTGGCGACATGTTCTTCAGGGGATTCATGAACTTGTCCTCGTGGACACCATACTTCCTTATTTTCATCTTCATCATCAGAAAGGACTAGGCGGCACCGTTTCCGACTAGCTGTCTGACTACATGTAGACCTAGACATGCTTTTGGGTGAGGTTTCCAGTGACTTGGTAGAAGTACAATGATTTGTTAATTGAGAACCTTTTGATTTGGATTGATAGCCATTTGAACGAAGAAGTGATACCAAAGGAACCGAGTCATCTGCTAACTCCTCGATTCCATATGATTTCGGATCACTCAATCTTGGTGAATAGTTCATATCAGACTTTATCAATGATATATCATCTCCCTCTGTATCAGTCTCAGAACAGCAGTCTCTTGGGACATTTAGAGGTTCATTATCACTGTTTGACTGCTTCAATTTGTCTATTTGTGACTGTAACCTCCTATAAAGAACAAAATAGATCAGTGAGCAATGATTCATCAGCTTCATCTCAACTACTAGATACTTTGTACGGTATATACAGTGATGAAGTTGCATTGAGCCAACAACTTCCACCTCATGATGGTAACTCCAGTTCTCAAAATCAATCTAGAAATCTTAAAAAACATTTTCCTGCCTGTTCCTAAAACAATTTTCTAGAAACACCCGGGAAACCTTTGAGGTGCGCGTGCCTTAATAAATATGCTTAGCAGTGACATTCAAACTCATGACCTCTAGGTTGTCATGAAGTCCCAATCACTTGGACAAGCCAAGCTGGGCCTGTTTCTAAGAGGAACTGTCTTTGTAAAATCAATAATATTAAAAAAGACAAGAAAATTTTCATAAGTAGCTAATAGTATTCCATTACCTGGCCTCTTCAACATTATCAAATCTGATCATGTAACTATAATGCATATTCTCCAGTGCATACAGCTGGACAGAAAGAAGGTTAGCTTGACGAGCAATGCTGCAACAAAAGAGAACAGTATAAGCACTGATCAATCTGAATTCATTCCAAATAAGACGAGATATTTAGTTCATAGCAACCTCGATAAAGAACAGTCCAGTTACAAGGAATCCATCATTTTATGGTTCGTGAAGGGCCTTATGTTACTCTCGCCTTCCTCTAGAGCAAATATAGTCTTTAAGTTTAATGCAAACTCATGGCAACGAAGAGCTCTGCATGCTGTATGATTGATATCTATGACTGAAGTGCAACAATTCATTGAAGAGCCTTATGTTACTCTCGCCTTCCTCTAGAACAAATATAGTCTTTAAGTTTGATGCAAACTCATGGCAACCAAGAGCTCTGCACGCCGTTGATTGATATCTATATCTGAAGTGTAACAGTTCATTTCTTACTTTTGGTTAATTCATTCCATCATTTCTTACTTGTATGTTATACCATGCAACCGAATGAAACATTAAACATCGAAAAAAGTTATTGACTACTTCGTAACATCATTTTTTATGCACATCAATATCATCAAACACCACCTAGTAACATGAGTGATCAGAAAATGGTACCAACTACCACGTATTGGTTTAAATGGGCTATTTAAAATATGTTAACTAAGGAATTTTTTTAATTTCAGATAACTAAAAATCATGTGATTTATTATCAACATTAATATCAGTGAAATATAAAGATAACAATAATAATGGAAACACTTGCCTGTAGCCTTCACTAAACGCATCCAAAGCATTTGCCCATTTACCAACTGAATCCAAAACATCTCCAAGATTGATCTTTGCTAACGCTTGCCCCTGCAATAACCATCATTTCTAAATAAGAAACCAGAAGCGTACCAACATGGAAATCCAATCGTGGAAAACCATCTATCTGCCAAACGACAGCAGATGTCCAGGCTCTTTATAAAACATGTATTTTGTTTAACCCATAATCTGTGGAAGCTGAAAAAAGAACTGTGCAAATTTATTAGATTGAATTCTTTAGTACTTTTTGCATCTTGAAAATTTGTGCACAACAATGTTTGTGTCTTGATAGGTCAGCTTCATAAAATAAGTTGCACATACCTCCATGTTGCCAATTGACTTGTATGTCTCCCAACTTCTAGAGTACCATTTTTGGGCTTTGTTGAAGTTCCGAAGCTTTTGGTAAGACTCGCCAATAACTAAATATGAATCACCCAGCTTTTCTTTGTCACAAAGTTCACTTGCTACTTTTTTCTTCTTTTTGGCAAACTCACAATGCTATCAAATAAATTCCAATATTTAAGATAACATAATTAAGTCACATTCTCACACAAACACCCACAACAAAGAAATACAAAATTAAACAATTGAAGGATTAGTGAACTGAGTTAAACTTGAACATTGTTGTGAAAGATATAAGCACTGTCTAGACAATTAAACTGTTTAATAAGCTAATGATGCAGGCATAGACTACAAATGCTGTCACACATGATTCAGAATATGCATCATACATCCAGACTAATCTAAGAGGATTCATGTAAGAAATTCTTCCAGCTCTAGAACTGTGAAATCCTACTGAATGGTCCTGAGCAGTGCTAATGTGCTATAAGTCATGTTATGGTATTACACCATTACTATGCCAAGTTCATGAAGAGTATCTGCACGTTTAATGATGGTGGTGGTAATTAGCACAGCTGCAGTTGTTCTAGTAGTAGGGGCAGTAGAAATAGCAGTTCCAGTTACATAGTTTGATTTAACTTGAAGAGCCTATTAAGTTGCTTGAACTCATTAGAGTTGTGAAAATCCCGAATAAACTACTTGTGGTTATTAAAATCTTGTGGAAATTCAAGTTTCTATATCTAATTAGTCGCATTAAGTGTACAAGTTATTTGAATTCTTTATACTTAAGGAAGCCTTAAATAATACACAATTAGATGTTAAGAAGTAAGCTCATATCTGAATATTTTATTTACTTATAAAGTTGGAGCCAGTTCATTTTGCTCATAATACATGGTGTATGCTGACAATTTAGTATCATTTTCATTTTTGTCCGACAAAGAGCATAGCCGCAATTTCATATCCAACAAAAATAATTAGCAGTGAAACAACAAAAGTACTTTAAAACATACCTTCTTCCATGCAAAAATGATGCTTGATTTCTCAATAAGGCGATCAAGAGATGCATTCTGCTGTAGCAAGCACTTCCTTTCAGTTGAAGTGCCTCTAGCCATTACTATGTTTCTTGTCAACTTCTTCAGATTCTGCTCTTCTTTCTTTAAGTCCTCCATTACCTTAATTGCTTCTTTTACAACTTCTATGTTCTGGTCGATTTGATTAGCCAAAGCATGCTCATCGTCCATAGATTTTGCCAAATTCATTGCCTTTTGATAACAAAGAGTGGCCTCTTCATATTTCTGTACCCTGTAATGTAGTTCACCAAGGTTGATGTATCCCTTTGCTTCTCCCTGGCAATGGCCAATATTTTTACAAATCACAATGTCCTTCTCAATGTGCTTTCGAGCTTTATCCCATCTCCTCAGTTCCATGTAAACATTACCAAGGTTGTGATGGAGCCTAGTGCGTCCATCATCATTCTCAACCACCTCTTCTTCATCACAAATTTGTAATCCCTTGGTGAGAACGTTTTCAGCTTCTTCCAAGTTATCAAGATCCATTTCAACCATTCCTATGTTATTGTGGGAATCAATGTATTCCTTTAGAAAAGTATACTTGTTAGATTGTGGGTTTTCCTTAAGAGTTTGAGCAAGCTTCATGGCAGAAATAAAATATTTCTTGGCGTTCCGAAGGGAGGTTTGATCATTATCAGATTTTAAAAACATTTCATGGTATGTCCGACCAAGTTGGGTGCTTGCTCTTTGCTGCTCAACCATATCATTTGTATCCCTTGCAAGCTCCAAATGCTTTTTCTGCCAACAAAATAACCATGGGATACAAAATCAAGGAGTATTAATTTACAGCTAGGTCAAATTGAAATTTTGGAACCATGCTAAAACTCTGATATCTATCCTATAACAGTGGGTCAAGTTTGGCCCCCTTTCTGCTCAATTCACTGCCCATTTCATCACATTCATTTCACATTCATATCTCCGGTGTTGCTAAATACCAACTAATCACAGATTTAAGATTGTATATGGATGACCCAACAATTTTATCAACTTCAATGCTATTATTTGGCTATTTTCCCTTGCACCCCTATCAAACTTTCACTATAAAGCTTAACCATACTAAGCAACATTCTCGGGGACATCTGAATTAAAAATTGAGCATGATGAAACCATAATCCAACAATACAAGAACTTAAAAACCAAAACAAATTTCAGTATTTGGATTAGGGCCGAATATATATAGTTTACCCTAACAATCAGGAGTCCGGGGACTTTCTCTACCGTCAATGGTAACTAGAGTAAAAAACTCTAAACAAAATGAGTATATGAGAAAAGTAGATATAAACTTTAGACCATGTGAAGAACCTGATAAATGAGAGCATCTTTGAAATGCTCAAGACGAAGATAAACTTCACCAAGGGATTGACAAGTGGGAAGCAACTGTTTCTCAGGTAAATACTTAATTGAAACCTCATAATCGAGTCGAAACCATCTCAAAGCCTCAACGTATTCTCCTCTGTTCTTCAATATATCTCCAATTACGTTTGCCCATCGTGCCTCTTCCTGTCGATTCCCTTCCTCTGATGCGTTCCTGTATGCTCGCTTCGCTGTTGTCAGCTGAACGTCTTCTTTCTTCATGATCTTAAAGAAGCTAAACAAGAATTTGATTATGTGAGAAGAATCTTGATTTTTTTGGGTGAGGTTTTCGTATCTGATTAGTATTTTGGTAGCAAAAGAGCTTCCATACATATGGATTTCCCGCCAAAATCATGCTGCAAAATTATGGGCCGGTTCAGATTGGAATTGGAGCCCGTTTCTATGTTCATATTTGGGCCAAGGGGCTTGATATTTTGTCCCATTATTCTACTGGAAATCATGTGAAACATTCGTATATGAATAGATTTTTTACAAAATGGCCGTATTTTAAACAATTCTCACAGGATGACCATAATTTTCGTAGCGTTTTTTGCCACCAATGACATATAGTTCCTTCACCTTCACCAATAACACATTCTAATTTAGGTAAACGTGTTATAAAAAAATTAAGTTTACGTAGTTGTATTTAAGTTATTTTATAAAAATCATTTGAGTTGTAAGATATTTGAGCTAGGTGGTGATGATGATGATATGCCGATGTTTCGAAACCTTAAAAACTGAAAAACCGAAAAACACTTCATCAAAGATTAATGGATCCAATGGATATGATTAAAGAGATAGTTACAACTTTATTTTTAAATTAAAAAATCTTCCACCCTCTATTTTTTAAATCGAAAAGTTGATTTTGTACGAGATGTTAGTGTAAAATCACATATGTTCGATTGTTTTTTTTTATTCTCTTAAATAGGTATTGTTCTCGTTTGAACTCATCTCTATATATATATATGTGTGTGTGTGTGTGAGAGGGAGATTTTTTTCTTCTAATATAAATGTAATTTTTTTTAGTATCATTGAATAATAAATAAAACATATATATGTATATACGACATAGAATTTTGTTGTTTTATCACCTGTCTTTGTGTAAGACTTGAGTTCTGACCTCACGGTAAGCATAAACGACATAAATTTAGAAGCCATACTTTTTCGTATTTCCTTCACGGCACAACTAACATTGTGACTGACCCAGATGCTCTTTGAAGCTATACAAATTAAGAGGCATCATCTGAAGGCAATTCAGTCAAGAGTTTTCCAGGGTATCTACATGACCTAATGTTTGAACAAGAACCGGAAATATCAAAAGGGATATATTATCCGGTGGCCGATAACAGTGTATGAAGCGCAGCAAAGGAAGGAGGAGGATGTTTATGGTGGCCGGCCAGCCCGGAGGTCTGACGGTGGTGGCTGGGATGTTAGGTTCGATCTTTTATCAAGCTACTCAAGTTCGAGCTTAAGAATTGTCGAGCTTAAGTCAATCTCAAACACACATGCACTAAAACTCGTATAGAGCTTCATAACATCAATGTTCAATTTGGCTCGTTCGAAAGCTCGATTAAATTTTTCGAGTCGAGCGAAGTGCGAGTATATACTTTTTCGAGCAAAATATATTTATATGTTCCTAAATATTATATAATCAAAATATAAAATTATTTAAGTGGAGTCAATAAGTAAGCTAATCGATCTCGAATTCAAGCCCGTAGACGGGTATCGAGTTCGAATTCGAGCAATAAAAGGAAATTCGACTGAGAAATTATTGGAGCTCGAATTTGATAATATCTTTTTGGAGTTAGAGAACCTGTAACTCACTCATTAACTCAAAAATCTCTGAACCTGTTATTTCGGATGGTGATTCAATCCGAGTCAACTACACCAAGGTACGGGTACCCAACCAAGAACACACCCGTCTCTAGTCTCTAGTAACAAGTTAGAGACGGGACCAGGCCGGAAAAACCGTGTACATAGTAGACCGGTTCCATTACGCAGTCAACAACCGTTAACGCAAAATTGATGTTAAGGGAAGTATTACCAGAGAAATTTGGTAAGAACCAAACAAGCCTAGTAAAAATGTACAAAAATATCCACTAGACTACTATCAATGAAGTAGCAGTCAATAAGTAAGTATCTTGGAAGCACTTTCTGCCAATTAACACATGAAATCGTCAACTGATTGCAGGCATCCTAACACATGATCAAATTACAACCCAAACGTCTCTCAGCCATATTTTATTTCCAATACACAGTTCTATGGCTGCCGCCACCACCACCACCACCACCCTAGACATCCTCCGCTTCACACCCTGCTATTCAACCATTGGATGATATCCCTTTTGATATCTTCCCGTTCTGGTTCAAACAGTAGGTCATGTAGATATCCTGGAAGAAGCTTGATCGATTTGTCCTCCGACGACGCCTCATTGTATAGCTTCAAAGAAGCATCCGGGTCGGTCACGGTGTCAGCGGTCCCATGAAGGACCAAGAACGGCACTTTCAGTTTCTGCATATTGCGTTGCAAGTACGACGTGATACGCAGGATCTCGTGACCAGTTCTAACTCTTATCGATCCGGTATAAACTAATGGGTCAGAATATTTGGCCACCAGTGCCGCAGGATCACGAGAAACTGCCGTGCCCTTCTTGTTTGCAGCGCTCAATTGGAATTTCGGTAACAAGAAGGAGAAAACTGGTGCAAGTATCTGCCATTAAAAGCACAGCGAGTGGTGTTACTTCCATTAGGTTATGACAAAATACGACATAAAATCTGCCAGAAATAATGATAGCGAGATGCTGTCTTACCAAAAAGATGGGATGCGAAGGCTGAACTCCGACAGCAGGAGATGTCAGCACAACACCAGATATCAAGTTCTCAATCTTGGGGTCAAGTACAGCCTAAAAGTGCAGAAACCTTAGATCACGAACTCATTGGTGTTCAGGATATGATTCAAATCTCAAGTTTCCAAGTAGATAATCAGGAAAAATGCATCAAGATATAACGAAGTTTGCCTCAATTCCTTAGTGTAACTTGTTAATCTTGTAACATTTGATGACATAGATGTCGAATTAATCTTCCACTTTGCATTAACCCTTCCGTAAATAGAATTCCGTGTCATCAAATCATACAAGATCAACAGATTACAAGTACAAAATAAAAAAAATTGTAGCTCTATACTTGGATGAAGGAAAAGGAACTTATTTGGTACAACTAAATATGAGGAACTAAACCAAATTTTGTTGCAATTCGATACATCATGGCCTAGTTTATCAGATGGCACACAATTTGCAGAGAGAACGGTATGAAGAAAAACAGTCACAAAATATGTAAGAATCTAAAAAAAATTCCATTACAAAAGCATACGCTGCTTCTAAAACTGAAGTTGGATTTGAGGACCGTTTTCGAATACGATTAAACATACCTTGAGAATGATGGCTCCACCAGTTGAGTGTCCAAAGCAAAAACATTGAAGCCCTGTGTTTTCAGCCATCACGTGCCGTATAAATGCTTTCTGCATAACATTCAAGTCTCTGTAAGTTGAGGCACAATCAAAGCTACTTAAAAGGGCAAAAAGAAGGCAAGACTTACCACATCAGTAACTGCATCATCAAGAGAGTGCACGTATGCGTGAAGCCCATCACTCCCACCATGTCCTAAACAGCGCAATAAATATGCATAAAAAATCACATTTCTCATGATGCAAAGACTCGAACTTTTTTATGTCTCCATGGTTTTCTCTATTCAATCCATTGGCATATTGCACATTTTTCACACAAACAGATACAAAGATTGAAAACGATCATGATAAGAATTGATTTTAAACAAGAGAGGAAACCAGAAGGCACTGATGATATGTAATATTACCATTTAGAAAAACTTTCAGCAACTAATGCCACAAAAAAGGTCCACATCCACTCTTAGAAATAAATTCCATTGGCATCAGTCAAAACTATTATAAGGGTTGTCTTTAGAATTCCAGAAAGAAATGTTAAGAGACCTTTTTCATCTTCCCCCGAGATCGTTGGGGTGAACCAAGACTTGTTTCCCTTGCAGATAGGCAGTTTCAGTTGCTCCAAGGGCATAGTTTTCATGGAAGGCCAAGATCTTTGCAAGAAAGTATGCATGTTTAAAGGCCAAAAGGAATGACTCGAATAATATGCTTACTTAACAAGACGAGCTTTTGCACCATTGGGCATCCAAAATATTTCAGCCCCTGCAACATCCAAATATAGATGCATTGTTGAAGAACTTCTTCTAAGGCTAGATGACCAAGAGTAAATAAAATAAAACTTCCTCTGCCCCTCACAAGAGTACGTATTTCACTTTTGAACCTTTTAACCAAATGTTCTTTAAACTGTAATGCAAATACATTTTGAAACCAAAAATATACATACATACATATGTATACACAGACACACATATGTGTGCATATATGTGTGTGTATATATGTGTGTCTATATATATGTATGTATCTCAAATTTCCAAAAGCAAATGTGGCCCCTTTTTCTTGTGGGGCAGAAGGAGTATATTATTTACTTTGAAACCTTAAACACCCTTGATGAAACCCTATGAACCAGGAAAAATAGCTACCATGCTCCCATGATGGGTTGGAGGTGAATTGTGAAAACAAAAGAAATGAACCAGTATATCACTAGATAGGAATCAGTTCTGAAAAATGCTAATCCAGGGTAAGTTTCTATCATCTTCTTCTTACCTGCTCCTTTAGCCATTACATTTACATATCCCTCCGTTCAAAGAAGAAAAGCTACAGTTTGATTTTAAAAAAAATCAATCGTGTTAAATTCAAGTTTAAACATTTGTTTTGTACATGTTAAAAGCAATTGATATCACAGAAGAATATGAGTCAATAAATCTTGGTGAAAACTAAAAACTACCATGTCTGACATCGAAGAATAAAAATGAAGCTACAAAGGGAACAAACTTTTTGTTCTTTCACAAAATCCGCTTCTCAAAACCTTTTTACCATCCCCCACATACCACAAATTCAAAAGCATTATTGTAAAATAGTTCCAAAACTGGGCTGAGGAAAGTGGAGATGAGAGAAATTAACAAGAGAAGTTGGGAAAAGAGCATGTTAACAACACCATCAATGTCACTCAATTCTCTTAAAATGATCACATTCTTTATCTAAAGATTGGACGTCATAGACCTCATGAAGCAATTCCAGAAAGGGAAACAAGTAAGACTTCAGATTACATGTTCTCAAGTCATCTATTCAGACACAATTATAAAAAATCAGTAGCATAGGCCAGTATGAAGATATAGTTCATAAGGTTTGTTGGTGCACTCAATGAAAATGGGAATGCTTAATAGATTTCGGGACAACAAAGAATCTATGGAGCCTACTTCCTTACAAGAATATCTCAATCTCATAATACGACCATACATGCACATGGAATTTTTTTTTAATTAACCTGGATATCCAACCTGCTATGCACATAAAAGTTGTGAAACAAGGGATCAAATTTGTACTCCCTCTGTCCCAAAAAAGAGCCCATATTCAAACAAGCTTCCTTTCAACAAAGAAGTTGATAAAGAAACATTTTCAAGGGAAAACCTGATTACTACAGTAAACTAGTAAACTATTAAACAATTGATACAATACAAACATTTTGGAACTGTAAAACTAAAAAATATGTCAATTTTAAATCAAAAGTCACTACGTTAAAACATCAAAAATGGAAGTGAGCCAACAAGGGTAGTAATAAAAATCTTTCTTCCTTCAATTTAGTAGAAAGATTACTTATACCATAACGAACACTATTATCAATGGAACAGAATGAACATGAGGGAAAACTTCAAATTTTGTCCATTGATCCCCTTCGCATCCACTACTCAAAGGGAGGAGAATAAATAATAATAATAATTTGACGATAAAAAGATGCAAGGTTTCAAACTTACCAACCCAATCCATTCCATAAACTTTATATCCTTGTGCATTCAGCTGCTTCGCAAATTCATCGTACCTTCCACTGTATAAAGAAAAGTTTGAGAAAACGAGCCTATATGAAACAACCAAGAAAGAGATTGTAACAAGAGGGATGCGAAAACTGCGTACGAGTGTTCATTGAGTCCATGCAAAAGAACAACCAATGCCCTGCAAGGGATGAATAAAACATCATTAACTAAATACTCAAAGATACGGCATATATGACTATTAAATTGGACAAAAAATGCAATCTTGAGGACTAAAAGTAACATCAACTTTGTATGGTTCAATTTTACGATAACTACCTTATCTTGGATTTAACCATAATATGGAATACGATAACAAAATTATATTTTCCTTTTGTATTAAAGAAACAAATATTTCAGTGGTGTGAAGATGAATATTTTCCTTCTGTATTAAAGAATATCATATATTTCAGTGGTGTGAAGATGAGTGATGACACCAAGAACTTAACCCCGTTTACCTTCACTTTTTTAACTGAAGCTTTCATAACAATATTAAGATACAAGACTTCATTTTCTTGTTTATTAGACATCATTGTTTTCCCTCTTAACCAAAATCTTATGGTTGCTATATATAACGACAAGAAGCAATGAGTCCACATAACATTGTAATTAACAGTCAACAAAATTTATTGCATAAAATAATGCTGAATGTAAAAGTTCAATTATTATAATTGTATTCTTTTTACTCCAATTACTTGAGATTAAGCCAACAACAATAAGCATTGTCCACATAACATTGAAATTAACGGTCAAATAATGATTTTTATACACACAATAACAATAACAGTTGAATTATTATAACATATTCATTACTTGGGAGTAAGCTGAGAAACAATCTAATACACACAATAACAATGAATTTAACAGTTGAATAATTAGAATATATTCCTTTATTCCATTACTTGTTATATTCTAGTCAATCCAATAGGTTAAATTATTGTTCATATTGAAATATGCCTTTATCTTGAATTCCGCCCTTCTGCCAACTGCAGCTAATAATGTTACCCTCTTATTGTAAAGAGGGAACAACCCTCTCAACAAGAATGCCACCTTATATGCGACATTCCCTTGGATTGAAAAAAGACAAGGATAGCACATAGTTCAACCGTTCCATACTCGTTTCACTCTATCCAATGTTTATATAATCAATGACAACAATATTCGGTAGAGACAAATTTTACCACCCCAAAACCAATGTGTAGCCCATTGATTTTGAGCTTGAAAGCATGTTGAAAAAGCTCAAAAGCATAACAAGAGATCATCTTAGCACTTCTGTCTCTATCAAAGTTTTTCCACAAAACCATTGTTAAGTCTCTTAATTCAAAGTCACATCAGTTAAAACCACATCTAAAGCTATGTTGGGTAAACTAGCTCAGAAGCTGGCTGATGTACAAGTCACCTTTGGAAAAAATGAAAAGTAATTGATAAGCTAGATGAAAAGATAAAATGGCCTAAAAACATGTTTGAAAAAATAATGGGAACGATACAAGGGGCATAATTGAAAAAAAATGGAAAAAGCCCATAAACCTTATTGAAAGGTTACTTGAAGTAGTTATCAAAATCTTATAGCTTATGACCAACCAAATGTTACTCTTTCAATAAGCTAAAAAATAAGCTAGTTTATAGTTGTCAAAATTGACCGAGTAGTAAATAATAAAGATGTTTAGTCTGAAGGGATTTTGGAAAATTAGGTCACCATATATTAAAAGAGAGTCAAGAAAAACTGCACTTTGTTTAGGTGGGTGGGGTATTAGGAGTTGGGACGGCCAACATTGACTCAAAGTCTCAAAACTTATCAACAGCACACCCAGAATGACCTTTAGGAAAGAAAATGCAATCCATACATATCCAATCATAGACAACTTGAATACTAATTTTCATCATTTTGAGATGCATATATATAGGGGTTAAATTAAATGAGAATCACAAATATGTTACAAACCCAACCGATATAAAAAAAAATTACATAATATTCTTTCATCAAATGCTAAGATTTAAGATATTGTTTCACATATATTTGTTTTATAATATGATAGTTTTATATGTAATTGTTTCACCATGTGAATATTTTTTGCATGTATTTTCCATTCATTTCACTAGGTGAACCAAAAAAAATTCACATGTAATCTTTTTATAATGTGAACACAAACATATTTGAAACAATATTTTAAATCAGAGGTTTTGATTAAAAAAAATCATGTAAAAATATATTTTTATATCGATCATCACGGGTTTGTAACATATTTGTGGTTCTCATTTGATCATCGTTCTCTCTCTCTCTCTCTATATATATATATATATATTATATATACTTCATACTAAAATAATCAGCCGAAGGCCTCTCGAGTTCACGAGTGCATTTATCATTTTGTAATCAAATTCCTCATTGCAACAACAAATGGGTAATCTTTATCCAAAAAACAACCAAAGAGTAAGTGTTACTTCTCGGAAAGAAAAAAAAGGGTGTTACTACATACACACTTCAAGTCGAATCATATTTGAGAAATATGAATACAAAAAGAACCTTGATGTTGATACGTACGAGGAACAAAATTTGTAGAGAGGTTTGCATTTACCAAGCTTAAGGGGTATACATTTAGAATACACCCATGCTAAATGCACCCCTTTTAATTTTCACCAAATACATCAACATCCTTCTGAACCCCTGCTTAATGAACACAATCTAATTTTCATCTCATACGTCAACATCAAGCCTCTAATTATATTTTTCATCTTTTTTTAATGGATGAATTTACCTGATTTTTATTTTATAATAAATAATTCATATATCAACACTCTTCCTTTCCCCACCAGCATAAAACTATCATTACCCTTTACAGAAAGCAATGGGCACAACCCCAGAATTGAGTGGTCAAAACTGAACAATCAAAAAGTCATCAACTCTTTATGACTATTCATGGATTTAAAAGAGACATGTATAGTTTCAAGGGGTTTGAGTTGTTCAAACTTCTCAAGGGTATCATAAATTTTACCCTTTCTGGGTTTTAATCCTACCAAAATAGAGAAACCATCAATTAGACAAAGAAAGATCTAGGAGCCGTTTATATCCGGGTAAGCACTTAGATAAGTCGGATTACGAATATGGAAGTCCCTAGAATTCTACAGGAAGATAAGGACTAAAATCTTAACAGGTAAGTGATGGCGACTAAAGTCTTACTCTTTATCATGATAGACGTTTATGAGCTAAATTGATGTTATATGATGTCGATTTGATGAATTAAAACCTTATCGAGTAAATAGCATAAATTGTACACAGGACAAGGCTTCTCGGTAGAAGACCCCTTACTTTTGAGAAAAAAATATATTAGTACCATGACTAAATAACAAAAAAGAAACAAAACTCACCTGGTCTTGACCGAAATAGGGGTCCACGATTGGGTGAACATAGTCTCGCCTCTGGGAGTCACAAAAAGAGAAAAATCCCGCCGAGAAACGTCACCGCCGTCCGTCACTTTCCTGATGGCAAGTGCCCGACGCAACGCCACCTCCTGGTCTACCATCGCAGCCGCCGATACGCTACTCTTCCATGGCACGATTGTAGATGGGACTCTCATAACAGGCAATCCTCCTTTCCTGTTGTTGTTATTACTACTATTACCGACCTCCTGTTTCTCCTCCTTCCCACCCTTGTCGACCATCGCCAATGGCCCTGAATGACACCGCTTCCGGCCCCGAAATGGGAAAAATAGCAACAAAAGAAACGCGTTTACGAGCATCAATAGGCTCTTCAAAACTTGCATCGAGAGGAGCGCTGTTACACGCCCACTGGCTCCTGAAGTTAACATGATTTCTCCGGCGGCATCGGCCTTGGCCATAGGAATTAGAATTGGAATTGGATTGATTTTATTAACGATCACAGTTTTTCTATGATAAATACTAGCGCCCAAAACACGCGATGGTGATGGATTTCTGATGAGGGAATGAGAAATGGGTTTTGATTTCGGCCTCAAGTGCAACCGATTAGGATGAACAACGACGAAAGCGTCTTTTAATCCCAAACAGATCATATAACAAGGAAGGAAGATTGAAGAACAAATGAAGACCCAGATTAAATTGCTTGAAATTGAAGCACACCACCCTCGAATCAAGGGAAAATTTTTAGTACTTTTATTGAAAATGGGATGTGTTTTAATGGCAGAGATGACGTGTTTCTTGTGTCTCTATTTATCTCCTTCCTTGAAAACTATGATGAAAATGGAATTCAATGGCGGAGGAGTCGTATATAAGCGGAAATCGTAGGGTGGGGGAGAGGTGCAGCGTGTGGCTTACCGCACAGGATTGGTGCCTGGGTATTACTAGATCATTCCCTGCCACCGCTAGTTAATGGTAAAATTAGACGACACGTGTCATCGAAATAGAGCAGACACATTTGATTATGCGGCAACGTGACTTACATAATTTGATTGGACAATGAATGCGTCAACCCTTTGTATCCGCATGACTGACATCTGTCCTCTTCCCATTCGTTTCATGTTTCATTTCATTTCATTTTATCCTTCATTTTTTCATTAATATGTTATTTACTTTTATATAAAAATCAAAATTATTTTCAATATATTCTATATATTGTGTTAAAAAGAAAAATTAAAATTAAATTTTTTAATAAATATTAGAACATCTAGAGTGAAGGTTTCAATTGAGATTTTTCTTCAAGTTTTTATGATAACTTTCACGGTAGGATACATGTCTTTGTTTAGTTACATGTTTTTATTAAAATCCTGATGGTTGAACAAAAATTAGGGTTTTATATACATTCTTTTTTTATTATTATGTTTATTTCTTAACCATTTTATTTTCTTTTAATAAATCTATAAAACAGATGAGTTAAAATTAATACAAAAAATAAAGTTAATTATTATAAAATAAATTTTTTTTTCGTTTATTGTAAATTTTTATACAAGTTTTTGTGTTAATAAGTTTAAATTTAAATTATCTCAGTATATTATTATGTTTAGATTATTTTTCATTTGGTCATATACATATATATATATATATATGATTTATAAATCGTATATTAATAATTGTAAAACATATTTTCTATTTTTAATGGATATTAATGCGTACGTACATATTTTTGCATAATATGATTATTGAAGATAATGGTGACATGTTGATTGATTGGATCAATGAAGAGTATATAATTGAACTTATATTTCAAGGTTCTACCCATAAATTCCAAAAATATCTTCAACAAAATTTGGAGATGCGCTCAAATGAAGTTAATGATCAACTCCGCTCTGACTTGGTTGAACATATTTGATTAAATCAAGATTACAAGTGATTTATATTATCAATTATTATTTGGTGTTACTTTTTATGAAGATTAAAGTTTGTGTAATTTTGCACTTAATTTAATTGTCGTATAAAATTATGGTTATGTTCAAATATGTTAACAAATTAAAATTAATATAGAAAAATGAAAATTAATAAATTATATTTGTGTTTTTCTTATAATTTTATATTATATATATATATAGAAAGAGAGAGAGAGAGAGGTTCATTTGAGAAATGATAAACATTTGAGAAATAAACAAGTGATCCTAGCTCCTCTTTATACGGTCAAGATTGGTCAAGAATTGCGGCTTTGACTGGTCAAGCGAAAAATAGTGGAGTAGTTTCGTAATTTTTATAAATATGTGGCAAACAAGTGCATATGTGAATCCATAAATACATATGTGCATGAGCTAAATAGTTTATATGTGATCAGTTAATTAGTTTATATGTGAATCAGTTAAACAGTTATTACATGGGTTCACATATGAAATATATAGTTCATATGTCAAGCACACGTATTCACACATGCACTTATTTTGCCGTATATTTGTAAAAACTATCAAACTATCCATCTATCTTCCGCATATCATGCGAGGAATTATTCAGTGCTTCACAGTCAAAGCTGCAAATTTTGACCAGATGAAGGGCTAAGGTCACTTCTCTACTTCTCAAATATGTACCAACTCAAATGAACCTATGTTTATTTTTATATTAAGTTTATATATTAACCTATAAAAAATTACAATTTATAAATTACAAAAATGGATAGTGAGGTTTTTGTAAGAACCTCTTTCATGAAGTTTTATTGAGGTTCTTACTTTCTTGAGGTAACAATAATGTGACAGGAAAAAATAGGGCAAATGAGGTTCTTATAGGTTCCACCACTATGAATGCTCTTACATGCATCTTTAACAGATTCTTCATTTTAAAGATTATAAGATCGATTATGATATTAAAATATCCAACATATTTAATAAAATATTATTTATCTCTCTTTCATATTTAACTTCAAAAAATTTAATGGTGGAAAAAACAAAATATTATTTTCACTCAAAAGTAATCATTAGTAAGGAATATTGCATACTTCGAGAAAATTTCATTCTCTCTCCTACTTTTATCATTTTAGAGAATTTATTAGAGGGAAAAAAAATACTTAGGTTGTGGATGGCAAATTAGCTGATAGATAATAAAATAGCTGATGAATAAATCATATTTGGTAAAACTAGCTGATAAGAATGTAAAATGGCCAAAAAAATATCTTGAAAAATTCATCAATTATAATATTCAAAATATAATTGAAACAGATGTCTAATAATATAATATATTAACAAATACAAACTAAAAAAATTAAAAATTTTAAAGGAATTTCAAACTGATTATTTTATATTATACTTTTTTAATTTCTTAATTTTTTAGAA